GTATCCTGCCTGGCAGGTAGGGAAACACAGTGTCAGGTCATAAGATATCAGGGCTGAGAAAGCAGTAATAAAGAAACCAGAATTACTGTGTTTCTCATAAAATGATAGTACAGCATTTGGTACATAATAAATGAAGTCAGGATATTTTGATAGCTTTCTGCCACCAGAGTGGTCTCCTTTACTGGACCATCTTGTTCCTCAGCACCGCAGAACCTTGGAATTCCAGATAAATAATCTGAATCCCCAAGAAACTGAAAAGTTATTGCAAGGTTTTGAAAGCTGCAGAAGAACTTAAGCTGGCAGAAGGCACAATAACGCACGCAAAGGTGCAGACTACCAGAGCACCTGGCTGTCAGCCAGAGTGAATGACACTGTGTTGAGCAAGCTGAGATGCTTCGCTTTGTGTCTTGGTAATGATAGGAACAGTTCATTGATCTGTACGGGTCAATTGATCTACTGGAGAAAGCAGCTGACGCAGTTTCTTACCATGGGATATCACTGTAATATCTTGTTTGACCTCTTTCTACTCAAAAAGTGCATCTATGTGTTTGTATAGCATAATTTATAACAGCCAATTTAATTGCTTGGTCTTGTCCATAATATGTCAGCACCCTATGAGAAAAGAAATGAATCTGCAAACATTTCTCACTGCTAACTGGAAATTACACGGGTAGTCCCATAGGCCACGGAAGTCCTTGGGACAAGTCAAGAGAGCAAATGCATCATGATATGAGTGCATCTCATCTCATTCAACTCTCAGTTTCTGGGATAAAAACCATGAGAACCAGTGGGAAGAACAGAAAGCTAACAGGCTTGATCCACTTGCTACAAGAAGACGGTGGTAGGATTTGGCTCCTTTTCACTGAAAATGTGTGCTAAATATGTTCCTTGTCTGTAGGTCCAATTTGCCACTGAAAGCTTAATTAGCGCTCCTCAGCAACGGGGAAACATTCTGATTGACAAAACTCATTGGCTTTGGCTGAGGCTTCAAAGTGCTCACTTCACAATATGCTCCATGGTTATTTTTAAACTACTTGCAAAATTCACAGCTGAGCATTTTGATTCAGAATGAAATCCAACAACAACAACAAAAAAATGCCATCACCAGAGTGATGCATTTCTGAGGAAAATGGAAGGTAGGAGCTCAGCTTGAACTTTGTGACCTATGGCAGTAGCAGCTTTTCCCCTGCTATCTCTCAGTCTGAGAAGAAAATGGGGATACTTGGGTGAAGAGAAAACCAAACAGACAGTTCAACAATTAATAAAAAAGACTATAAAGTAAAGATAGTGAGAAATGAAGTGAAACCATTTGTAGATAACTTGTGAGGTCTTTTGTTGTCAGCAAAAAAGAAAACTGTTCAGAGAGCTTCAGGAGGGACTCGGAAGGCAAAGTGGAAAAACAGTAAGGTGCCAGTTAAAATTTCATGTGGATGGGCATGTGCTGAAAGGAACAGCCACCACACACCCTACCATTTTCTTATCAACTGCAATGACTCAAAAGTAAAGCCACAGGAGTCACTGGAACTGGGTAGTGAAAATCCTGTTCTGTAGCAGCTAGAAAGGTAAAATGCTGAACTGCATGAGGAGAGGAGAGGCAAACAGTTCTCAAAACACCATCATGCCACTAAACACACTTTGTTCTGTACTGGAATATTACGGACTGCTGCTATTAACATCCCCCCAAAAGACACTGAAAAGATAATGGTTGATTATTATAGAGGGGAGCTAGAAAGGATATAACAGATGTATGAGAAACTAAATACTTGAAGCTAATAAGCAAATACCATCAAAAAATATAATCTGTGTGGCCCACCACTTTGCAGTTTTTTGAGTGGGCCTTTGTACTGCTGAAATATGAGCATATACTAAATTGATTTTGAAAAGCAAAACTAAGTATCTAAGAGGAAAATGCAAAAATACTTTGTATCACTAATTCAATTCAAAGGCATTGACCTAACTTTGCTGTATTATGACATTAGGAAAATAACTATCCATATTTAAAGATAATAGTGATTGAAAGTGTGTTTGCAGAGGAAAACAAATAAGTTAACAGTACTGATTTCTGTAAGTCTCTGACATTATGAAGCATTTATGAACAAGTTGAAAAGTCCTTACTAAATAGGGAAGCTTTCTTGGACCAGGGCCTAAGCAAGACTGCATTTATGCATATTACTGTGGACCCCAGTTGTTCATGTCAGTTATAAGCCTGCTTGTTAAAAATTTTTAAGCAAGGAAAGAAAAATAAAAAGAAAAAAACATAGTAGTCATACATTTCAAAATCATCATTCCATCATATATTTGAAAATCATCATTCCACCACCGTCAGTAATAATGTCTAGCAGCATACTTGTATAAATCTGCCTAAAGCACTTGTAATCTTTGTATTGTAATAAAATAAGAATGATGCTTACATCTCTCTCTATATTCATTTCTCGAAAAAGCCGGCAGTAATATGTACTACACATGAATATTTATCAGAGGAAAATAATGGTTATACCCATATTTAATTTTTAATCTGAAATCTTGGATATTATTAACTTTCCTGGCAGTATTAAGAGGAATAATTTCATAATTCAGTAGTGAAAAGAACAGCAAATGAACCGTAAGTAAATAGAGCTGAATTATCTTTTGCAAAGATCTGAGAAAGAGAGACGGAGGGTATGCAGGTTGCATGTGAAAATCTACAGAAAATCAGATATATTTAATGCGTGACAGACCACCTTGCTTTTGAGTTCTGCCTTAAGAGTTCCCACACTCTGGAAAGAAATTTGCAGGTAGGCCCTCACTCTGTGCCTGCAGCCCTGGAACAGCATGACTGCATTACAGTCTCAGAGGTGTTTTGGTTTGGTTTCATATTGCTTGCTTTATTGAAAGAGTTTTTAGTCTTAACAGTTGCAAGGAAAAAATCTTGAAAACTGAAACCAAATGTAGCTCATGGCAACAGCACTGACCTCCATCTGCAGAGATGGGACAAAAGATGGGAATGTAGGAAAGAGGACTGCATGCAGGAAACTCCCTTTGGCTTGGGAGAAGTACTAGGGGATGTTCTGCATATGTCCATAGTGCGTTGGGTCCGAAAAGGAGCGCACCCGTAGAGTTGCCATTCCCCCTACTCACTGTGCTCAGGTTCACATCATGGAGCACTATCAAGTGCACAAGCTGGCTTCCTCTTGAATGAAACCAAGATGGAAGATGTCCTCTGGAGTCAAACTCAAGCACTCGGGCTGCAAGCGGGTATTCAGACAGAAACCACTTTGTGCAGTCCAGTGGTGAGCACGAGTGGGCTACACAGCAGCCCGGGAAGTTACGTACCCAAAACGGACCTACGCCGTGCAGAGGTAGGTGCCCCCTCATGGCCTGTTGTACCAGCCTAGAGCTGGGACAAAGTAAATCACCTCTGAAATGTGTACAGGGTGGCTGTCAGGTCTGCAGTGCCAAGGGGTTTGGTCTACAGACCTGCTCCTATTTGTCCGCAGCGTTTGCTCATGTGAACACAACCTCTGGTGCCACCAGCACCCCCAGTTGGCAGGTGCCGATTCCCTTTCTGTCCTCAGCTTTTCCCTGTCCTGGAAACTAGCAGAACAGATATGGGGGACCCAGCTCTGCAGAAGACCAGAGTGACACAGATAAGACAAACTAAGTTTTAGCAAATTAGACAAACTGGGATTACACAAAATAGACACGCAGTAGCTGATGCTACCAGTGATTAAGACAGAGCAGGAAACAAATCATGAAATTAGGTCTATTACAACTGACTCCATCAGGTTTTAATCTGCTTTGGCTGGATTTAACAGCTGAGAGGGATCTTCCCGACTGCAGGATTACTATTTGGGTGTGTAAAGCTAAGCAGGTGCATAAATGCTTTCCTGGCTCAAGCTGAAAGGTTTTTCCTAGGCTGGCACTCCTAGAAATGGGGAAAAACTCCTGACAACTGCACAGTCACCTATCCACACCAGTCATAAGGTGACCTCCTTAGTATATTCAAATGATTTGACCAGTCTGGTTTTAAATGTTCACTAAAGAACGAACGAGTGTTACAAAGCTGTCTTCAGGAGCTGGATACCTCGTTACTTTAAAATTAATGGCAGCTGAGCACTTAAAACTTGCCAGTGGTTTAAAACACTAAGTGGAGCTATGTGCACAACTGGAAGACTACACTATAGATCATTAAAACTCCTTTTTATTTACATAGTCAACCTAAGCCTTCCTATGTTTCACTTGGTCCTATTCCTTCTAGATCTGTTTCCTGGATCTAAGACTGTCTTGCCAAGATGCTTGAACCCCCTCACACAACAATCACCTTGCTTGTCCCACACACATTTATCTCTTTTTAATCTTCATGAATCAATCTCTTCAGATACTTTTTCACTCTGTCATCCTCCCCTGAACTCTTTCCAGTGTGTCAACAGCTTTCTGGGTTTGACGCCCCTGAATTACACACTGACTTTCTCACCACTGCCTGATTAACAATTCACAGCCAATATAAGAGTCTCTTTCTCTTACTGATTCCTAAAATTTTATTTCCTAAATGCATCAGTGTTAATAACAATAGCCTCCTCACATCTTGCCAACATATGCAGTTCCATAGAGCAATGGTCTTCCAGGGAGTACAAGACAATCCATTGGGGTGTAGGAAGAAAATATTTTTGTAATATTAATAAATACAATTAAATTTAAAAATACTTTTAAAATAGTATTTTTTCATCTTTATCTCATCCTTTTAAATTTCCATTCATGTGTATGTTTTATAATGTACATAATATATTATTGCAGTAGTAAATGTATATAATTTACAAATAAATAAATGTACATATATTGGGAGTGTGTGTTCAAAAATTTCTTACTGATAGGGGTGCACAAAAAAGTTTGCAGATCACTGCTATAGAAGTAAGAGGTGGTAACATACATGTATTTTAAGTCCTAAGCTATTTATGTCAGAAAATCCATGCCATCACCACTGTGAATGCTACAGCATACACTGCCTCTGCCGTTGAACTCACCTGGCACGGGGTCCGGCCGTGACGACTGACACCGGGACTGCCTGCACAAACTGCTGCCGTCATTCCCCATGGTTAATGGTCTAACCAGAGAAAAGTGAGGGTGTGTGGGAGAGTTTGGACTTTGGCACCAGGCACTCTGATTAGGGAAAAGGGATGCAGAGGTCTTCTTTTCCCTGTAAACAGAAATTCAATTAAGTTTACTGTGTGTATTTCACACATTTTGCACATGCATGTGTGTGCACAGGATATAAAAATATGTATATTGTATTTATTACTGCATTATTTATTGTATTGCATTATCATATTTATTATTGTATTTTGCATAGATTTACTGTGTTTACTGCACACATACATTAAATTTATGGGACATACCTAACAAACAGCACACACATTTGACACATTTTGCATTTAGCTGGAGATGGAAGAACTGCAACTTCTATACTGTTTGACATATCACATTATAATTTACCATTTGCCATTAGTTATAATTCTGCCAGACTTGAACTCTTTGCACTGAATTTTTACATAATTTCTCCCTGCTTCTGACTTAGTTTCTTTGGAGAGTTTGAGCAAAAGCGATTTAGCCATTTTTAAGAACAAATCTTGCAAAGAACAGCCAGTTTAACTTATGCTGAAAACTGTTTACCTTCTGAACATCTCCAGCCACAGTCTGGAGAAGAAATTTAGAGAAGAGCGATTACCCCAGACATGAGAAGGGTCACCTGCTTTTTTTGTGAAAATATATCCAGATTGGCTAATCTTTTATTTTTTAAATACATCAATTCCTCCGCACATGCTTTCCTGTTGTGAACCTGGCTCAAAAGCCCCTGGAACAAATGTTCTGGAGGGGACTTAAGAAAAAACACCAATATTGCATTCCTTATTCAAAACAGTCAATGGCTCAGCTTAGGGGTTCCTGACTGAGACCTGGGTGCCCAAACTAAACTGTCCACAGCTAGGCCAACGAACCACACTTTTTCATAGTGCTGCCATGTTTAAGTTGATACAAAGGTTAGAAGACAGTTCTGAAGTAATTTAGAAAGCAATGGTTATCAGTCCCTAGCTCAGTTCAAAGTGCAGTGGTCTGAGAGAAGACCGTGTTCAGCCCTTTGTTCTCAAGAAAAAGGTAAATAGTTCTGTGAACATCAACATTTTTGGCTGAAAGCGTTCCAGCTCATGGACTTTGAATGGTGCCATCCAAACACTTGGGGCTGAAAGGATAATATGTAATAATAAATCACATTTTAAGAAAAATTTTACTTGAATTTTACTTTCCACTTAGTCTTGACTGACAATGAATGCACTCCTATCAGGAGTTTTGGGCTGGATTCCTGTTTGAAGGTTAAGGTTAATTCTTATTTTCAAAATTTCAAAGCTTTGCAAAAATTGCTTACCAAGATGCTCATTTAAAAGCATTCAGTTATAGAGTCAGTCTGGCACAATGCTGTAATTACAGAGTACACTCAATGAACATCAGATACCTTTTAATGAAGCTTTGTCTTTTTTTTCCTGTTTGCCCTGGGTCAGCCCTCTTCCACTCTGTATCAGTTATTGTGAATTCCTTTTCCTTTTCCCGTCCCTCTTTATGCTTTGTTGTTGATAAAGTTGGTATAACCATGTTCTCAATGTTTTCACTTTGCTTCTTTGCCACCCATCCTTGCCTTCTGTTCCAGTAGAGAGGAGTGTACCAAGCCACAGCCTGGAAAAAAACAACATATAATTGCTTAATTATATCCTGCATTTTTTCATCAAGATAATCCTTTGTTGTAGACAAATCAGGAAGGGCTAAAAGGGTAGGCACTCATATACATATACACTCAAATACACAGTGTATTTCTGAGTCATCTATCATTTGAAAGAAATACTAATGGTAACCACCAAATTCCAGATTTTTTTCTTCAGTCTTTAAAATACACTTCCAGTCTTCAAATATATTTAGGGTAGATACATCATCTAAGAGCCTTGACATTCCATTGTTCCAATTAAGTCAACCAGACAAAGAAGGAGAGAAAAGAGGACATGACAATTCTGCAACTATGTCAAAGGCCGCTGAAGAAAGAAAAAGCAATCTGCTCTCCATGTCCACAGTGGATAGGACAAGAAGGAAAGGACTGAAACTGATGCAGAAAAAGTTCAATTTAGGCACTAGGAAAGCTTTTCTAAGCATACAGAGAGTGAGGCACTAAAGCAGATTGCCTGGGGACATGACGGAGTCTCCATTACTGAAGGTCTTCCAGAACTACCTAGGCAAGCCACAGCCAGGAGCAATCCTGGCAGAGGTAATCACATCTCAAGTTCCCTTTCAGCCTCTGATTCCCTGGCACTGATGTAATAGCAAATATGGCCAAACTGAGCTAGAAGGGGAGTAAATGTGAAAAGGTGAGACCAAAAGTCAACATTCACTTAACAGTTTGTAAGGTGTAAATTATGCTGTCTTGGGGAAGCTGTTTAACTTAACACTATTTATGAAAATCACAGGTCTTTTCCATATTATCACTAGCTTGACTTTGTCTAGCTAAAAATGACCAAAACCATAGTTGCCGTAAAAAATTATCTTGCACTCTTTCTCATCCCCAAGCCAACAGAAGTTTGCCTAAAAATATTCAAGACAGTTGCCAAGTCGATGGCAGTTACTAATGGGCAGCCATGGGCTGAATACCCCTAGGCATAGCTGGATCTTTCATGGCTGAAACACAGTGGAAGAGGACAGTGGGCTGGCAATTCACACTTGTGGAGCCCGTGCTTCAATGGCTGTAAGGATGTTAGCCTTTCATTCAAAAAGTGGTGTCATCAATCTGCTGTTTTTCTTCAGTCCTTCAGATCCTAATAATTAACATCCCCACCGAAGCAAGGTTAACAGAGAGAGATCACAGCTTTGCTGTGTTTGGCTTGCTTGTGCCTGATTCTACAAGGACTTTAACAATATGATCCTAAATCTCTGAAGGAAGTTCAGCGATAGAGCTGTCTGGGTAAGGAAATGTGGTGATTTTGCTCAGGGCACTCACTTGACCGCCAGGCTCACAGAGAATGGTAGCACAGTCAAGGCTTGTCCTAAACCTCTCCAGGTCCTTCCAAAGAAAATCTGAGGGAGGTTTGTGAAGCACCGTAGCATCTGCTGCCCAAACCTGCAAAGATCAAGCAGCCATTAGATTAAAGACAAAATGGCTCCTGGATATTTATACAATATAAGAACTCAGTAAAAACATCAGGTTTTCCTTTTCCTTTTTGATTTTTGTAACACTGGTCACTATTTGATCTGTGAAATCAAAGCTGAAAGAACTATATTTCAAGACTCGCAGCTTAGTTATAGTGATTATTTTCAAGTACTTCTGTGGATTAACAGAGATTACCAAAGGCACATTTTTCAAGGTGTGACAGTAAATCCTGGGGTTTTTGGTCTGGCTTGCTGAGAGTAAGATTAAAAATAGGCAGTTTCTTTTATTTTCTGAATTACCAGGGGCATTGGAAGAGATCTGTAATATCAGCTTTAAAATTCCAGTCTCTGCTTGATTCCAGATTCCTTCTGTTCAGGGAGAAGCTGTCTCTACTGGAGACTAGAGATTTTTTGTACTTTTATCCTTATACAAAAGATTTAACAATGTTGTGCTTTATAAAGTGAACACAATTATCTGTGACCTTTATCGCTGACGCAGTAGCAAGAGGACCTGTTATGAAAACATTTGTCTCACATAAGACAACCACAACATGCTTTTGCAAATGGTGTTCGTAAAGGATTTTGCATTTGCCATCTGTGAGAAAATGGCTTCAACCATTTCCTGGGAGCCAAAACAATTCTCATTCAATTTTAAAGGAGAAGTATGTTGAAAAAAATAAAATGCTTCCTTCCAAAAGTGCTCACCATACGGCACTCTGCCAAGGTGTATTTGTGGCTTTTTCACACATACACCAGAAGACAGCATTGACTGTGGCTCTTCTGGGCCCCCACCAGCGTGCATTTCCAGCTTTCTTGTAAGAGAAAGGGCTGCATTGACCTGCACTGAGCTTGGTGATGAACATGGTCTTTGCCTCCTTTTATTCTGCGAGGCCTCAATTTTCATGTCAGAAAAAGAAACAAGCACGGGTGGTAAAAGAGGCTGCAGGCCATATTCCAACCGTCTACATTGGCATCTAAGTTGAGCATTTTGCCTTGGTTCATCTGTTGCTCTCACAGGCCGCTGGGGCCTGGAAGTCCTCCCTAGCTGGCTGTCTGACACAGACACTATCATACATGAATTTTAGATGCAAGAGTTGGCAGCCTGAATATGACCCTTTGAAATTAATAAACCAGCAGAAATCTTCTGCTTGCGTATGCTGAAACAGAAGCTGTGGTGGATCTTCTACCTCAAGTCAGTTGTTCACCCAAGAGCCTTTTAATGATAATGGGAACAGCAAGTTTGTCAATGACTTCAGCACTGATCAGAGCACTTCAGAAAGGACTACTTTTGGGGTGGGTGGGAATGGTTGGTGCGTCAAAGCCAACTAAGAGGAAACCATTTCTGGGGAGACCTGCAAGGTGTCTTGCAGCCAGCATCTTTACCCAGTACAGAAAAGGCTGTGCCTGCTCTGAGTGTGGGTACATCCCAGAGGTTGCTGGAGGCCATGTGCAGACACCAGCAGACGTTCCTCAGCTACACCTACAACTGAGCCTTGGTCGCATGTAGTTCACACATTCAAGCCTTTTTCATTACCATGGATATCAGATGCATATATTTGTTGTTTTCTATTTAAAGCTTTTCTGGGGTATGATGAAGTCATCTGACTCTGCATCTTAGACCTTACCTACCTCTCTAACTCTTATTTGAAATGGCAAAAAGATACATCTGAACTAGCTGGAGGGGAAGTAATTTTTGAAGAGCAGCAGCCCATGCACTGTATTTTTAATGTATAGTTCTGGCATGACAGCAAAGGAGAATACATCATTACCTTCCTTTCACAGAACAGGAAACTAAGGCACAGAGTGTCATCATTTTGCCTAAACTCATCCAAGGCAAAGCCAGGAACAGAGCCCCATTGTCAGAACCATGGTTTATGGCTTTCTCTGCTGGATAACAGCTGTCCTCAGATAGCGTGCACAGTCTAGAAAGCAACATCATTTTTCTTTTTCTTTTCAGTTGAGACCCTACTATAGGGATACCTCAGACTATACACAAAACCATATTGACTGCTTCAGTAGCAACACACAAAACTCATTTCCTTTCCAGTTCTATTATTTGTGTGTTTCCAATCCAAGGTTCACACCCACTGTTGGCAAACACTGGCACAACTCAATATTCTGACACTATGGGGGGCTTTTTATGGAAGCAATGGTTGGAAAAGGGAATGTATCAAACAAGGACTTTCCAGGATAGCTTCCCATTGCTGGGCAACATGAAATGCTGGACGTGTCATGCAAATGCCAGGCTTGTACTGATGATGGACATTCGCAGCTTCTTCTGAATTCATCATTATTGTTAAGTGTTAAGCATTTCTGAAAATACAGACTTAAGTTTGACTCTATGCCATCAGGCTAAGAGTGCACCCTAGTCTGCCAGCTGAGAAAAGGCACTCAGACCCCCCCCACTCACTGTCACAGTGGAGCTGGGCCCCATCCTCGTCTCAGGGGGAAACTGAAATACAGCCACTGGTTGACCTTGGACATCCTGCTTCAAGAGATAATCTCCAATGCTTTCCTCTTTTTCAGGGTCACAGTTCAGGATCTTTACAAAATGACCGCCTGGATCAACTTCAGCAATTTTTAAATTTCCAATAGCACTGAAAGAAAAGAAGTTGATTTGAAAGTGTAAAAACATTGCTTAATTGAAAAAATACATGTATTTCCTTATAACTAGCCTAGATGTCAGTAATTAATGGTAAGTAAAGGTACCACAGGCAGCATACTACTTCTTATGCAGCACCTTTCATCTGAAAAAAATCCATTTGCATTAAAATGAATATATTCTATTTCTCTTTCACACTTAGGTAGCATCCATTACCACTAGAAGTGAAAAGATTTTTTTGTGGGGCAAAAAGTCATCAGTATACCATTTGAATTTGTTTTTGTCTATATCTATATAGGCTACAACCTCTAATGCTGCCTCAGGTATTTAGCCTAGTATGATTAGAGGGAATTGTGTTGCTGACTCCCTTCTTAAGTTTAGAAAATTCCTCCCGTCCATCAGTATACCTTTCTCCTCCTGCCTCTCATTGTTTTTTACTTCCTGGAGAAAGACAAATCTTCATTATTAACACTTCATTATTAACTCAGAGAGACTCCATGCTACAAGATTGAGATTTCATCCCTCCCTTGTTTCAGAATCACAGCAAAGCAGGGTCTGTTTGGCATCTGCAGTAAGATCAGGGACTTCTTGCACAAGCAGGGGAACACTCCATCTCCCTTAAGCACTGGAAAACAAATTTATCACTTGAGTGTTCCTTTAAGTAGTGCACATGTCAAGGGAGCACTTTTAAACACTCAGTCCCAGACTGTAATAGTCTTCATAGGTCTTATTCGACAGGTTGTGAATGAAGTCTAAGAATCATTCAGCTTTTGATGCGGCATCTACTGCAATAAATTTCATTATTTAGCGCTGGTGCAGTGTCTTGTCTGTCTTCTGTGCGTGCAATGCTTTTGCCCTTGCCACATTTATCTTGTTCCAGTAAGTTTACATCATAGACCTCTGTGTATATAGTAAAGGTTGACCCAACAGCCCAGACAGCCTATGTGCTTGCTTAGCATAGCCAAATCCTCATTGACAGTGTGACAAATACTGCCCACCCACCCCAAATAATTCAGCTGTGTGGTGTAGCAGTGAGTCACACTTGCTCATGACAGTCAAGCTGCCTCCAGGCTGCCATTGGCATTGATAGATTTGGAAGCAGACCTGCGTGTAACTGCCCCCTCCCTGGCCAGAGAAGACACGCATAGCAAATGTAACACTTGGCTGCCTCTCCTCTGTCTTCCTGCAAACTTTGGGAACTCCAGAGCGTCCCTCCTTCGACTTGGTCCCAGTCTATTTGTGCTTCACGTCAGCAAGGAGACGCCTGGAGACAGCTTACCAGAGATGCGGAGCCTCGGAGGGGCTTTGGCAGCACAGCCAGGCTGAGGGGCTCTTCACCTTCAGACTCTCCCCCTCTTCTGGCTGCTTGCTTTCACCTGGCTGCCACAGTTTAGCATGTTTCTCCTTCCCCCCTGCTCACAGGACCACACTCTAAGCTGGATTGCTGAAATAACACAGTGTAAAAGGTTTTGGGGGGACATTATTTTAACTTGAGCTTTTTTGACAGCCTCTGCAAGCTGCTGTATCAGTGCAGCTGAAGGGATGGACAGCTGTGCTTAAAAACTTTGCAGACTGGTGATGCAGAGAATGATCCTTTGGCATCCCTCTGTTTGTAAGTTATCATTTACACATGGCGTACACACGCAGATGTAAAATGCTGCAACTCAAATCCACAGTTGCTTTCTACATCATTACAGTCCCAGAGCTCCAGCAGTAGCCTAGGACTCTGCTGGGCTCTAACAACAGAATGACACCCGCAACAAAGAGAAATCCCTGACATTTTTACCCTCTGGAATGGTGTAGAGCCAGTTAAGTCAATGGGAGAAGACTTTTAAACTGTGCAGAATGCAAAGATCTTCCTGATCTCCCATTTCTCTCTATCTGTGCAAGGAAAATGAAGAAAAGTTTTGGGTGCCAAAATGTATCTAGGAGGAGGACAGGAAAAAGCAGATGGGGAAAGAGACCTGCTAAAATGGTCTTAAAAGGTCATTTTCATGATGCAACATTGTAAACAGCAGAATCCTGGTTGATAATGGAGTGAATAATGAGGGTCTAGTGTAGTGTGACTTTCCCTAAACAAGACCTCAGGTTGAATCTAGTGAAGCCAGGGAGAGCTGGGAACATAAAATGGGGCTGACAGGAGTTTTTGATAGAACACGCAGGACTGGTAAAAGAGCAAATGATAGGACACGGGGATTTGGTGTTGGAAGTTGCTAAAGCACGCAACGTGTTGCTGCCAGCTTGCATCCAGGCAATCCACTGCCTCACAGCCATGCTGGCTCAAGGAAAAGATCAGATCCAAAGCTGCAAGGGTTAAACAGCAAGGTTAGCTCAACCATGCCTAAGGATGAATCAGGCAAGAGCTGTTAGTGATAAAGAAGAGTTAATGGGCTTGATCCTTCTTCAGTCTCAAATGCTTCTGAATCAGTGGGGCAGCCTCCTGTGCCAGCTCAGAAAGCACAGTACTTTTGATGGATGTGGGATGGGAATGCATCACCATGCAATTCCCCTTCCAGGCATGAAAATACATCCTCCTTCTGTGGCCAACTCCCAGTACATAGAAGGGCCTAGGAGGAGCTGTTAGCTCTTGACAATCCTGCTCTGGGTGGGATTTCCAAGATAATGGCACTCTGACATCTCCCTTTTGTTCGCAGGAGAAGTCATCATCCACCGCTCCCCTGACTCAACCCGGGATTAACAACAATCTTTATTCCCTGCCTGTACTGCCCAAACAGAGCATCTAAGTCAAGAGTCCCTTTTGTGTTAACACATGTAAATCTAAAAAACTCCTTAAGAATTAATGTCAAGTTTTCATATAGGCATGGGGTCTGCACATAGCAAAAGAGAGAAGTGGAAGAAAAGAAGAAATGAAGGAGAGCACGCAGGTCTAAACCTGACACCAGGGACCCTGACTCCACTCACCACAAAACTTAAACGCAGGTGTAATTCTCCTCACTTTACTTATAAGAGAAAGTGAAGTGCTCTTACACACAAACGAACTCCCTCACGCTCTTTCCTGCTCTTTTCCTCAGACACTTCTCTCTTTAGTCAGTGATCCTTGCCGTACATTTCTTTAAATTGTAATTGGATAATCTTCCAGATTTTGGGAGAACCTTTTGTCAGAGGAATTTCTGGGGATATAGCCTCTATTTGATGAAACTGAGAGTGACTAAATTAACAAAGGACTGACTAAAGATAAGATTATTTGTTTGTACTGGAAATCTTGTTTTACCAGCAATCCTATAACAAAATACTTATGCTTTGTACATTAATGTTCTGGTATATTATTTTCTGCCAAACAAGATTTATGAATATCATGACCTATATGTATGTCTTATTGGGAATTTGCACCTTAGCCTGCACACTTCCTACCCTCAACCTTAAAAATCCCAAATGTATAGGCATCATTTGAACTAATTCCCCCAAACCCATTTGTTCTTTGTACTCTAAGTGTATAAGATTATGTGTTTGTACTGGAAATCTTGTTTTACCAGCAACTATTTTTAAGGAATCCTGTAACAAAATACTTATGCTTTGTACATTAATGTTCTGGTATATTATTTTCTGCCAAACAAGATTTATGAATATCATGACCTATATGTATGTCTTATTGGGAATTTGCACCTTAGCCTGCACACTTCCTACCCTCAACCTTAAAAATCCCAAATGTATAGGCATCATTTGAACTAATTCCCCCAAACCCATTTGTTCTTTGTACTCTAAGTGTACACATGGTTCTTAGTTCCATGCAAAAGCCCGACATGTAACATGAGGGAGGGAGCCAGCGAGACCTGCAGGACTTCTCTAAAAATTTGTACAGCCAGTTGGCTGCTGGATGGCAACAGACTTTTGTGAGTTTAAATGAGGGAATAACATCTCTAAGGAGACATTCACTGAAGCCTTCAAAGCTTTTTTTAGCAAGTTAGTTTACCTTTCAAAATATTGGACCAGCTCCTGTGAGACAGGAGCTAAAGTGCTGAAGTGCATGGAGGAGAGGTTGGTGTGCATTGATGCTGTAGTTTCTTCTGCTATGTGCCAATATTCACTGGTGGAACAGAATCCAAATTTTTCTATAAAGTATGTAACGCTGAGGGGAGAAAAAATGTCAGTGCTCTTGGGAGCACAGGGTGCATCAGCCATGGAGCTGTCACCTGCCAGTAGGACACCATTTGAACTGCTCCTCTCTGAGCTGGTAGAGGTAGAAACAGGGCATTTTAACTAGAAAACATGCCAAGAATTCAAGTCTTTCTAAGCTCTTCAGTCTTAAAGGAAGTCACAGATTGATACTATTGTTATGTTGGAAAAGGCTTATCTCCAGAAGTACAAATCTGTTTATTTTTATGCCAACAGATTTAACTATACTAGAGGGATAGGAAAGGAAAAGTCCTGGGAGAAGGCTCAGATCTTTCTTTGTGAGAGGCTGAGAAGTGTTGCATACGTAGCAGCTGCATGCAACTATAGGCCTGAAATGCCAAAGTTCAGCTGAGATCCCAAGTGCTTTACAGATCAGGGGTTAAACTTCACTCATCCTCAGTATGTAGAGCACTTGCACTTAGCACAAAATAGATATTGAGGATTTTCAATAGCCGTGCACAAAATTTCAATTTTCTTGTTTTCTGCAAAAACAGTCACCCCAAAATACAGCAGATTTAACACTGCTCATGTGCAAAAGTCAGGGAAAGGTTTAGGGCGACATTCACATTGAACACACAAAATGGCTGTCTCTAAGCATCAGTGCCAGGACACATGTGACAATACTGTCACCCTCCTTGCACACAGCTGATAGCTGAAAATCCTGATGCAGCAAATCCTGATTTAGCTGAAAATCCTGATGTCTCAACTCCCATGTGTGTACTCTCTGTATGACATTCATCAACAATCTAATTAAACATACAACCTTCAAGGTGCTTTAAGTACGTTCATATATTCTCAAAAGCAAATGAATGTAAATTAAACTCAATTATAAACAACCCCCCCCAAACAGCCTAGTTGGCTGAAACCATGTTATTTCTACTGTTTGTGTATACTTGTAC